TGGAAGAGCAGCACATACTGTGCCAACCCTCCATAAGGGATAAGGGCAAGTGGATGATGACCTAAATAAAGGCTGCCCATAAACAGTTGCAATAGGACAAGAGGTTATCTTTATTGGCAAATGAGAGGTTGTACAGAAACATTATGTTCATCTTTCCTGTACATTGCCCTGCAAATTCAACTTTCCAACCCTTTATTCTGCTGTCTTTTATATACAAATTTAAATGTCCTAGGTCCATCCAATACTGATAAAGTGAATTTTGAAGAATCAAAGGCAGAATCAGTTAAAAAGGAAACTACTATGGAATTCTTGGATAATGAACTAGATGATTGGTTAGAAGATGACAAAGTGAATGATGGCAACATTGAAGATACTAAGCAAAGCGCAGAAGTTGATGATAAAGAAGTTAACACAGAGGAAGTTGATGACATTGAAAAGAATGAACTCTAATATGTATGTAACTTTTATCATTTTAATTAATAAAAAATTTCTCTTCTCTTAAATTGATGTTTTTTTTTTTAAATAAAGTAGGACGTATTTTATAAAACTTTCCCAGATTGTTGAAAAGATGGAAATAAAGTTAATTTTCGCTGAAAATATGATTATAAACGATTGAAGTGCCTAGGGCTCGGATGGAAGATTTTAATTTCTATGTTCTACTTGGTTTTGCAACTTTCCGAATTAAAAAATAACAAAAACGAAAGTGAATAGCCTGTTATTTCAGACTATCCTCTACATCTATACCAAATTTCATAGAAATCCGTTCAGCGGTTTACGCTGCAAAATAAAACAAACATACATCCATCCATCTAAACTTTCGCATTTATAATATTAGTATGAAGTATAATTTATTGAATCTATCAGCATCTATTTTATATCTGTCGTAACTTTTAATTACTCAACGTTTAATATAAAAATATCATTTAATTTTTTTTCTTTTTCAGGTAAACCAGTGAGTTTACAATTTGCATAATTGCAAAAATCATTTTATTTTATCACCATTAAGGGAAATAAATAATTTAAGTGCTTAGTTTTGTATTTTTATTTCACAACAATATGTTTAATGTTAAAGTGGACTTCCACTGAAACACTGATACAAAAACAATTACCTCGGTTTTATCCAAGAATTTTAATAATAAATATACTTGCAACGCTATCCAAGGTGGGATTTAGTAGTATAAAATATTTATTTCATTCAATAGTCAACATTATTAAGTTGCGGTTCTATTTTTAAATTGAAATACTGTCAAGTAGTTTTAAGTTATCTTAGTGGTTATATAAGGATTTTAGTATTTTATAATAATGTATACATCTGCATATGTTTTTGAATACCCCGGGGGAAACTACCGTTTGTTGGGTTTAATTGGCAAGGTAACAATTCTCTAAAGGGGAAAGGTCCTTATCTTGCCAACGTCCTTAGTACGAGCTAGATTAGTAAGTGTGTTTTGTGTTGAAGGTGATATTATACTTGGATGGTAGCAACTGTGAGGGTTGTCTTTGTAAAAATGCTTTAGTACAGAAAACCTTAAGATATAAGACATATTCTATAATAAAACTACACGAATGATTCAATGTGAATATGCTTTTACGCAATTAAGACAATATAATTAAGCTATACGAAGTA